CTTTTTTTGCTTTGCTTTTCCATAATTTAATAATAATACACTCATAGATAAAATAATACTGGTAAAATTATTATACCATACGCCAGCCACTTCCAGCAAAGCTTTTGTGTTTTCTTTGTTGGTGGTGTCCTTTGCATCTTATTCTCAGTAAAAATGTTTAGTCTCCGAGTATTAAACCTACTAGCTCGCTATTGGTTTAGTTGTATTTCTTGTTCATAAAATTGGAAGACGTTCTAAATTTGATTTCCTCCTCTTTGAAACATAAAACAGCAATAAAAAAAATATTAGAAAGCTCCATACAAACTAATCTCCCAATCCACATACGTATGAATGATGGGACATTCTAAGTTTGAATTTTTTAGATGCAAGACTTTCAAGCACTAAACAGATTGAATTTCCAATTCTTCCTTATTACTTTGTACTAATGGTCAAAAGGGGTTGGAAAAAAAAAAAAAAAAAGGGCCTTGACTTGCAATTATTAATTTTAAGTTCAAACTCTCATAACACCTTGACAATGTGTATGAGGAAAAATATCATTTCCCAATATCGCTTGTATAAAAAATGAAAAAAAAAACTATGAGAAATGATATTTTCAAGAGTGTGAGAAAAGTAACAGTAAGAAAAGTAGTGGAATTTAAAAGATAAAACGCTACAGTAACTGTAAGAAAAGTTGTTTAATTGCTTAACCCATAGAATTAAAAATAAAACATTAGAAGATTCTGTAAATTAATGGTTGGTCTTTGACAGTTACCAAATTGCTGAAGATCGTGAAGAACAAGGAGAGTTGAGTTCAAAAGTGAAAGACACAAATTTCCCTGCTGTCTTCGTTTCCTCTAACATAAGTCAAAGAAAAGAAAAGAGAGACAGCGTTGCTTCCTATTTGCATGCCTTTGCTAAGTGCTGACGTACGCCTTCCCCTGCGCACCATAGCTAGCCGGCTTCAGTTTCATCACTTGGAGCAATTCAAAACTTCTCTGAAAACTGAAAACCCAATTGCCAGAACCTTCTCATCATACCAAAGGTGAGGCCTTTCTTCCCTCTGACTTCTCCTCTGTATCTGTTTGTTTTGCATAAAACCCCTCAATTTTGCTGTTTTACAGTTTTTTTTTCTTTTCTTTGAGATGCACCTTTTCTAATTGGGCCTTCTTTTGCTTTTGATTTAGTGTCTATGTTTGTTGTTGAACAAGAGGGAACACTGAAGAAATTAAGATTTTGAGTTTTTGAGTTTTGTGTTATGTTGTAAAACTGAATCTATCCACGACACTAGAGTTTTAAGAAGAATGTTAACTGAGAATTTTGAAATTTTAAGTTAATCTGTTAAGTGAAATGATTGATGAATGATTTGACTTTTGATGCAGATTTCCTTTTTGTTCTTTTTCGGGTACTATCTTGTCGTTGTTTGACATGTAGAGTATGAAAAAACTGGGGAAAGTTCAGTGCTTTACAAGGGGATTTGGACCTAGTTCTCTGTTTTGAATAGCTTTGATTGGCCTTGTCTCAAATTATGCCAAACTAAATGATTGTCCACAAAGCATTGATTTTTTTTCAAAAAAATTTATCATCCACTGTTTATCTTTGCAAAATTGCTTACAGTGATTTTGAAGTGTTCCTTCAGGAGAAGAGATCATGAGCTGCTTCAGTTGTTGTGTACAAGATGATATCCGCAAAGCTTCTGACAATGGACCGTTTGTAGCAAATAACTCAGCAGGTAAATCTGTATACCCGAGGCTTTTTCTTTTTTGAGGGGGAGGAAGGGGAACTCTGGGGTTGTGAGGGCACTTTTTCACATTCAATTTGCTTGAGAAACATGTCTTTTTATGAGTGCATTTTGATATAACAGAATTCCATGACTTTTCACTTGATATTAGCTAGAGCAACTTGTATGCATTTGCTTTTGGATATCCATCTTTTGTGGTGTTTATTTGATTGATCTAAAGCTGGACGTTTTAATTGTAGGCAGTAGTGGAGGTTACTATCACAGAGAAACTGCACCAAAGGATACTCAGACTGTAAATATCCTACCCATTGCTGTCCCTGCCATTCCAGTCGATGAATTAAAAGATTTGACAGATAATTTTGGCACAAAGTCCTTAATTGGTGAGGGTTCATATGGAAGAGTATATCATGGTGTTCTGAAAAGTGGGCCAGCTGCAGCTATTAAAAAGTTAGATTCCAGTAAACAACCTGACCAAGAATTTTTATCACAGGTTAGGTCTACAGGAATGTTTTTTATTTGGTACTTGACATGGTATGCAATTTTGTGCTCAAATTTGCTTGGATCATAACTTTACAGGTCTCCATGGTTTCAAGACTAAAACATGAAAATGTTGTTGAGCTTGTTGGTTATTGTATTGATGGCCCTCTCCGTCTCCTTGCCTATGAGTATGCTCCTAATGGGTCACTTCATGATATTCTCCATGGTAAGTACATTTCTATGCTTTTCAAACTTCTTATTTCTTCACCACTGTTGCCTATCATTTGATGTTATTTATACCCTCCATAAATTATAAATTCTGAAGGACCATATAAATATTTTATTCTTGTTTGAGCATGCTGAGATTTTATATGTTCACAAATTTCTGATTGGCTTAATAACTTATATTTAGAAGGTCCATATCATGCATGCCTAGTGTTTTAAGCTATTTCATAAGAGGATTAAATTCTTTCAGTTACATGAGGATTGAATTTTAGTACAAATAATTAACATCTAATCTTCCTAACTGTTTCATATCTTCTGCTCTATGAGTGGGTTAGCCTCCAAACATTAGAAAATAGCTCTTCAACTGCAAATTTTTGGGTTATGTCCCTTTTGATAAGTAGTAAGATAGCCTTTATCTCCTTGCTAATATATATTTTTTCCTTGATATGTGGTTATAGGACAGAAAGGTGTGAAGGGAGCACAGCCAGGTCCAGTTCTGTCATGGATGCAAAGGGTTAAAATTGCTGTTGGAGCAGCAAGAGGACTTGAATATTTACATGAAAAGGCTCAGCCTCATATAATCCATCGTGATATTAAGTCTTGCAATATACTGCTTTTTGATGATGATGTTGCAAAGATTGCTGACTTTGATCTGTCAAATCAAGCCCCTGATATGGCTGCACGTCTTCATTCCACTCGTGTTCTTGGGACTTTTGGTTATCATGCTCCAGAGTAAGTTATTGCTTGATGTACTCTATAAATCACATTATGGTGCATGCTCAAAATTTTGATTTGGCATATGTCGTCTCTTTTTTAATTGCCATCGTGAAGTAGACACTTAAAACGCACAGCCACTAGGCCTAATTCTTATATATGATTCTGAATGGCAGATATGCAATGACCGGACAGCTGAGTTCAAAAAGTGATGTTTACAGCTTTGGTGTAGTTCTGCTTGAACTCTTGACTGGGCGCAAACCTGTTGATCACACATTGCCACGTGGACAGCAGAGCCTTGTGACATGGGTACTAATTTCATCCTAGTTCTTGTTTACTAGTAACTCATACAACTCGCATCCTTATTTTATTTTATTCATTTGGGAAGGGGAATTTTATTTGTTATAGATTTGCATCTTTCATTTCAGCTGTTTTTTTTTTCTTTTTTTTTGGGAATTTTTGGATTCTATTAGGCAACACCGAAACTCAGCGAAGATAAGGTGAAGCAGTGTGTTGATGCTAGACTCAATGGAGAATACCCTTCCAAGGCAGTTGCAAAGGTAATGGGAAACGGATTGAGTAATTATTTACCATGAGTTGATTACTTAATTCCAAAAAATACTTGCTTTTGGTATTTTTCCTCAATATATGTGCAAGAACACGACATACTTTGTTCTGGCCAGTTATCGACTAATTGAAATGGTGGGTAGGTCACTCTCTTAGGAATGAGGGATCTTTAATCCGATGGCTATTTGTCATTGATGATGTACTTCACATCCACTGATCACCATTGTTTGTGCTTGAAACAGCTGGCTGCTGTTGCTGCCTTGTGCGTCCAATATGAAGCTGATTTTCGGCCAAATATGAGCATTGTCGTCAAGGCTCTACAGCCGCTATTGAATGCTCGGTCCGGCCCCCACCATTGAAACAAAAAACGCTTGGGTTCGCGACCTGTCAATCTCTCTTGCAGACAATATTGTTGAAGATTCATTTGGTAAACATAGTTGTGTAGATCATGTAACTTCCTCTGGTTCCCTTGTCATCAAAATCTTACTGATCCTATATAATTCACATTGATTCTGCTACCGGTTTAAAAGTTGCTTATTGGAGCTTGGGTTATTTGACCATTCTACATTAACATCCTTTTCTCGGGTCTAATTAGTCTCCTGGAAAACAAGAAGTTTCCGTGAGCAGGCCGCTGAACTTTGAATTGTCATACTTGGACTTGAGCAGAAGACTAGGAAAAGAAAAAAAGCAACCCCATTTCCAGGTCAACGTCAATATGATGGTTTTTCTTACCCTCCTTTCTCATTTTTGATTGCCTGTATTAAACCAAAAAAACAGATACGTTGCAATGAGTCAATATATGCCTTTCATGTGGGCTTTCTTCGAACTTACCAACTTTATTATTTTTATTATTTTTATTATTATTTTTTTAATACAAGCGCTAGTCTAAACTACAGGGGAGGAGGATTTTTCACACGCACACAACTATGATACTATGGGGGTTCGAACTTGAGACTTCTTATATGCAAGTCAATGCCCTTTTCAACTGGACCCGTTGGCAATTGAAATACCAAGAATCAAATACCATAGAACTTGATATTTTGTGTTCATTCAAATTTCAATGGATTTGTCTGGAAACCAACCGTCCCACAATGCTGTGACTTTCACAGAGAGAGAGAGAGAGAGAGAGAGTCCCGTGCGTACCATTATACAAGGCACATGGTGTTCAATTTTCGCCTTCAAAATTCACATGACATGCAAACCCTCTATGAACTTGGCACTCATGTGACTCCCTTTCTTTACGTGGAATTGCTTCAAAACGTAATAGGTAGGAGAGGTAGAAACAATTTATTTCTTCAACAAACTGGCATAATTTCCATTTTCTTCCTGTAAAGTTTAGCATATACTTGGACAATTGTCTTTCCTTTTTTTCTTGAAATCTCTCCTTCACAAGAAGGGCAAAACATACATAAAAGAAGATCTCATGAACTACAGTCACCTAAGACCCAAAAAAATCAAAAGGAAAAGAAAAAATCAGAACTGTACACACCCGGTGGCAAGGGCGTCCCCATCTAATGCCACTCCATACACAATAACCATCTCTCCAAGACCTATAAGTAGGTTTATGTATTTAAAAGAAAAGAAGAAAAAAAATTCCTTCACGTTCTGATTCCTTTCCTTTATCTCAACTAAGGCAGGGCCAAGAATGTGAAAGCTTGAAATGAGTGCAACATGTTCCCTTTGGCTTGTTTTCCTTGCAATTCTATGATTGTTCAACCCTTTGCCTATTTTCGATAGTTCCTTCTGCTATCTGCCCTTATATCCGGGTTGTCACTCCTATCTGTATCAGAATTGTCTTTTAGAGACCCAGCCTCCATATTCCCTGCTTGACTTCTTCGACCTCTTCGGTCCTGAATTCCAACCAAGTCACATTAGATACATCAACTTATGAACTCCCCAAGTATAAAGATGGAAACCAATATTAAAAAACCAATCACATTTGTCTCAAAAATGGATATAAGGTCTGTTTGTCATTGGTTTCATATTATTCAATGGTAGAAACATGATAACATCAAACATGGTACTGTTTGTTACTTTAAAGATGATTTCAGAAACATACCTCTCGAGGTATGGGATACTCCTCTGACTCAAGCATGCGAACAACTTGGCCCATCTTAGGTCTTTTATCAGAGTCTGGATCTACACACCTCAATGCAGTCAAGAGGGCTCGTTTAAGGGCACTCGTTGATGGCCTGGTCTCAATGTTTGGATCCACCACCTCTTCTGAACGCCTGCTTCCAACCATCATCTTGAGCCAGTCTACCAAATTTACCTGCAAGAACCACCCGGCAGGAGTAAGGACAACTGTGACTACACTGGTATTATTTCTTCTTTTTCTATTTGTCTAAAGATAGCCATCAAGGAACACATCAAACAATTCCATGCTGATTATGAGTTTGTTTGGTAGTAATGAATTTACAAGCTACAATTTTCATTGGCCAGTGTGTTTACTATCGAATATGACATGCAACCAGAACTAATAAAATATTAGAAATACAGAACTAAAATGCATGTATGAATCAAAATTCTCAATCTGAAAAAATAGCATTTCTCGCATACCTCTTGTGCTGGCCTACCATAATCCACTGGGTCTCTTCCAGTAATTGCTTCCAAAATCACAACCCCAAAGCTATAAACATCACTCTTTTCATTTAAAAGGCCAGAATTGGCATATTCTGGGGCTACATATCTGAAAAAAGAAAAGAATGATGAAAGGATTCTTACCTCTAAACTAATTACTTACAGTTCTTCTACCCATAAAGAATCTTGAAACAAAAAGTTGCAAGTAACTGTTCATCAAAAGAATTACTAACCCAAAGGTACCCATAACTCTAGTTGTAATATGACTCTTTCCAGCACCTAGCAACTTTGCCAGACCAAAATCAGATATCTTCGCATTGAAGTCATCATCAAGCAAGATATTGCTCGACTTGATGTCTCGATGCACAACTTTTGGCTCAATGGCCTCATGCAAATAAGCCAGCCTGCAAAATGTTAAAATGAGTCAGAAGGTGAAGAACCACAAGTGCAAACAATTCAAACTTAGGTATCGGCAGACTTACGCCTTAGCAGTGCCAAGGAGAACTTTCATGCGTGCCTCCCAAGTGAGATATCCATGATGACGCATAGCTCCATGAAGCCATTGCTCCAAGTTTCCATTGTTGACATACTCATAAACCAGCAACCTGAACAAAACTCACAGATTTAAGAACTAAGCCACCTTTCTCTCTCTCTCATGCATGTGTATCAATTTGAACACATTTTATATGTAATAAGGCTGTGACGGTGTTACTCTTTCCTTTATTATAAACAAGGTGCTCATAAAATAAATGAGTAAAATGAAGGGGTATGATACCTGTGGGTGCCTTCTATGCAGTATCCCAAAAGTCGAACCAAGTTTTTATGTCTTACATGCCCAATAGCCTCAACTTCCACTCTAAATTCCTTTTCCGCTTGTCCTCTATGAGATGAATATATTATAAGCACAAACCATAGAACCATAATGAAAAGAGAAAATATGAAAAATAGAAACCCATGGAGCTACTGAAACAATAATACAAAATGCATCTTACAGGTTGTTGAGTAGCTTCTTCACAGCCACAGGAGTTCCATTAATCAGATTACCCTGATAAACAACTCCATATCCCCCCTCGCCAATGACATTTTCCTTTGAAAACCGATTTGTTGCAAATTCAAGGTCCCTTAATGTAAACCAGTGACCCCAACCAAGGCGAGAGAATTCAGGTAGACCAGAAAGAGGCGAAGGGGCAGTGATAGGATGTGAAGAGGGCCTGAAATAAGCTGTTCCTGCACCACCCTCGTCTCCCGATGGAGAACCGACATTTTCTTTTTCTGTATTGTTAAATGAGCCTGATCGACTGCTACTATCTCCATTCTTCTGGATCAAAACTTTCTCTGACTCTCTGTCATTGAATTTATCACTAAGGGTGAGGAAAGAACTGTTACGGGGTGCATAGTTATTTGATGAAACTTGATCAACCCTAATCTCTTTGATTTCCTTTGAAACATTTGGAATTTGGCTAAGAGGAAGCATGTCATTAGACTTTCTGGATCTCTTTCGTGAAGTAAGGCAAACTGATAACACCGCAAGAATCATCACTATAAAAACCCCCACAATGATCCCTGTTAAGACCCAAACTCTTAAGCCGAAAACAAACGTCTTCTTGGCTAATACAGTATCAAGACCAGATGCCATATTTTGGCGTTAAAAGTCACCTGCAGAGTTCAAAGCAAAAGAAATAAGAAATTTTCAATTCCATGAATGCAAAAACGCAAACTTTTTGCATATATAGCATTTCGTTCCTGAATTTAACTGCTTATGTCACCACCGGTTCACATCTTTCAAAGTTCACGTTGAAACTCAAATAACAGAAGGCTGACTCCAAAATAAGAATGGCCATCAATTTTTTCTTTAAAAATTTAAAAATGCACATCCACAAATGGGAAGCATAATAAAATCAAAGAAAATAGTAGAAGATAAGATAGTGCTGTACAGAAACGAATATATAAGAGAGAGAGAGAGAGAGAGAGAGATGAAAACCGAAGTGATCAAGGAAACAGACTCAACCCCTGTACGCAATCTCGATAGAGAGAGCAGAACACCAGGGTGATCAGGGAAACATACTTCAACCAAAGGAAGAGCAGGAAAAATATACAAAGATGTTTTCTTTTCAGCTCCACCCACTTTCATACTGTGAAAACAAACTTGCAGCATAACCAACTAATGCATTTCGTACATCATTTCAAATTAGCCAATATATACAAGTGATAAAGACCAAAACTTTGATAATTCTGGACCCAAGTAAACCAATAACTGCAGAAAACCATTAACCTAATATACAACCACCACGAGGCTTAGTTCAGTCAAGTTCTACATTACCCGCCAAAGTCAAAACAGGTTGAGATTGTGATATCTATGGCATAACAACAACAGAAAAAAATTCAGAAAACCATTTTATAGTATTTTCTCATTTATTCGCTCATCGAGTAAATACAGAAGAGGAGTATAAATGTAACAAGCAATAACCATATAAAGAGAGGCTCCATACACAGAAAAGTTTCTGAATTGGTACCTTTTCTTCAAATTTAATGTGAAAGCCTTCGTCAGCCTCCTCGACAGGTAATGAACCAAACTCAACCCCCTAGATCTCTTATTAAAAGAACCCAGAAAAAACCAACTTGGAAATGAGGCTACTGCCACACACCCAAATCAATCCCATTGTTCAAACTCTCTGAAAATAAATGTAAAAAAGTATTAGGTTTCCTTTCTGGGTTTTCTCAATTGGGCAAATGGGTTTTGTATCCAAGCTCAGATAGTCAGATAGAGCACTCTTCCCACCGCACTTGCCCCTATTGGAAAACTCCAAACAAAGGGTCACAAGCACAGAGCCTAATGTGTCTTTGTGCAGTCCAAGGGGAATGGAGAAGAGAAGGGGGCACATGAATTCTGGGAAGAGCAAATGGAGGTGGTGGGGTTAATAAGAAGGGGTGGAGTTGTCAGTGGTAGGTGATGAGGAGGAGAGAGGGCATGCCTTACATTACATACAGTAAAAGAGAAGCATGAAAAACATTGAAGCTTTCTTTGCTGTTTCTTCAAATTTCTCCCTTTTCTTTTATTTATTTATTTTAATTCTTTATAGTAATATCTAAAATGTGTCCTGAGGGTGACAGATAATCAGAAACTTAATTAGGTTTAGCATTTAAAACCAAGAACCTCAGAGTTTACAATTTCAGATTTAATGTGTAAAACTAACCTTTTCTTTTTGTTAGTCAAACATCAATTTTAGATTATAGTTTATGTTTAAAAATAAAAGTGACTATGATTACAAGGGGACAAGTAATCAGTGTGATCTTGAAGAAATGTTTAGCACAAATTGTGAAAAAGGTTGAAAGGTCAAATGAACAGACTGGACAGCAAATTAACCAAAGACCATTTGCTGCCCTCATTATGATGATATACACATTTCATGAAATTTGAAATGTTCCTCTCATTTCTATTTATATTTAATTATTGAGGTTGGGATATCCAAGTTTAGTAGGTCAGATAGTCAAGGAAACAGACTGGAACTCAGTACCAATTTTTCTAGACCCAAAATACCCCTACTTCATTTTGAAAATAAGATGTATGGCATGGATGGATGAGTAAAATTCTTGTTTAACATGTTTGATACCCTTTTTTCTCCATTTTTCTCGTCACACGAAGTCGCGTGATGTGAGAAATGAAGAAAAAAGTGTATAATTTTTGTATAAATGAATGGAGAGAGACCACACTGCCCACTACTTTAGAGGTGTGCAAGCGATTGTGCATAAACAAGTAAACAACCACATATCCATATCCTAAAACTGTTCCAGAATCCATAGAAACAGATTCAAATGCTAAACAGTGCCCCAACAAACAATATTACATAATTCATGTAACGATGAAATTTCTGGCATATTATAGGATATGAGAAACCATTGCAGTATGGAGAAGCAAAACACTACACATAGATGATGAGCGGCTCTCCTTTTTTATTTATTTATAGTTTTTTTTATGTAAGTTATATATACATTAATGAGTGGTTATTTGGAGAAATACAAGAAGCAAGCTCAGGTGAAAGAGTAAAGAAAGCAGGGGCCCAGCACAGATATAGTCAACTATGTCATCATGGACATTTAACTTGCAATGTTCAACTCAATCCCCAAATTAAGTCTTTGGATTGGTTTAATAAGAAGAACTTGCATGTCACGGGAATAATACTGTTTTATTATCGCATCTATTATGTGAAATCTTTATCACAGAACATAACATGTAAGAATAGCAAAACAGTTCTATCCCGTTATATACAAGTTTTTCTGATGTTGCAGGCCCTTTTAGGTTGAAGTGTCAGATTGCTTGACATTTCAGATACGTCTGCTATTGCTAAAATAATATTATCTGCTAACTGATATACAGTGTCCTAGCTGCATGGCTGGCTTCACATGCTGTTCATGCTCATCATTTATTGTTTTGCGAACCCTATTTTCTATGCTTCATGACATATACATGAAATCACGCCTTACCCCTATTGCCTAATCTATTGCAATGTTTAATAACTAAAGAGCTCATGCCTAAAAATTTACTGGTTGTTGGATTTCTTCATCGTACCTAAACCTAAACCTAATTTAATTTATATTATAATTGTGTAGATTTTAAACCAAATTATACATTATACATGTCATGATAATGAGTGTGTGGAAGTACCAAACATTATAATTGGCAATTCGATTGTCACAAAAGGCATTGAGAAAACCAATTGGATGTTGTCTCTTGGCTTCCTTGTACAGATTTATTATATATTCTTCAGTAATTCATATGTTTTTGCATTTGATTTTTGAGCATTGCACAAGGCCCCGCTTAAAAGGAAATAGAATATAAGACAATAGTGTTTTACAAGATAAACCTTTCTTTTGGCCTTATAATCCTACTTTAAGGTTTAAAAGTGAGATTAGTCATCCAAGTATGGAATATAATTAAATCGAATCCGAGGCGATTAACGAAAACCTTGAGAATTTTAACAATAATTAAGCTAGAAGCATAAACTTCTTTTTCTTTCTTCTTTTTTTTTTTTTTTTCCGATGGGGACAATTAAAGTTATATGATTCAAGTTTCTCGTGGAAATATTTTACTTCTTGGTTGAGGGTTCTTTATTATTTATTTTTCCTTTTGTTTGTCTTGGTCACGGGCATGAGGTGCAAGTATGGCATATAAAGCAGAAGCGAGAGTCATAGCACAGCATATAAATAAACTTTAATTAGCTTCTGATACTTACATTTCTGAAGTCTTTTCTAGAAGATTCAACATGTAAACAGAAAATTTATCGACGATAAATCACATGGATATAAGCACTAATTAAAATCACTTACAACAAAAAGGACTCATTCGTGTAGTGGTTTAAAGCAATTACTCCTCCATGAAAGGTCCTGAGTTCGAGTTTTAGCATCCGTATAATGTGTGTGAGTTTAATATGTTATATCCCCTCTCAATAGGAAATTTCAAAAAAAATTAATAAAAAAATCACCAGTATGAAAGAAGCTCTTACCAAATACCCACATGTATCTCAACTGTCTTTCTTATCAGGTTGAGCTTCATCTGACTAAACAAGACTTTTTAATGCGTTTTATCTTAGCATAATGGCTATATAGATCAATGTCTTAGTTAGGCACGGCCCTTTATTAAAAATGCACAAATATTTAAACAACAAAAATGGATATTTGGTGTAGACTAGACATGTACGTGTGGCCTGCTCAGTGAAAGATTGAGCACACTAACCAAAAGTTGCCATAGCTTTTCCCCACACGCAAATATTATTGACTTTTTTTTTTTGTGGTTGTTAAATTAGGGTTTCTAACTTGTAATCACAATCTGTTTGCTTAATTAAAGACTCATTTGGGAGTGATTCTAGATAGAACAAAAAACACTTTTATGGAGAATCACTTTTCTATATAATCAATGTGATTTTTATGAATAAACACATGACAGGTGCTTCTCCTCATAATCACTTAAACTCACTTAAAATAATTATATGGAAAATCACATAAGAGGTGTTTTTCCCTATAACTGATTATGGACAAACCCTCAGAAAAGTGCAAAAATATCTAGCAATCAGTCAACCACATGTTACCTTAAAAATCATCTTATGCAAAGTCCTTGTTATCTTGTAGGTGTCGGTTACTTGTTCAATATATATAATCAGCCAATTCAGACTTTTGATGAGTTTCTTAAACTAATTAAACAATTCCAAACTTAATTAGACTTTCAACCCCATGAGTAGATAGATAGATTGCTACAATTTACCAAAGTTCAAGAACAAGATGTTGGTCTTGATGAAGATACTATAAAAATAAGCTTGCCCAGATTTTCTTTTTCGTCGGCAAATGAAAATAGGGTTTCGTAACTTTGTAACCACACCAAGGAAAAAACAAAGGTCAACTTCCTCATGCATTTGCCTTGTATTTTAGTCCAAAAGTAGGATAAAACTGATAAAGAATGTCCTGTACAGATTCCTCACCTGCCGTCTACTGCCCTCCACAAGGAGAAAAACTTAGTTGTAATAAGGATAGCTTTGCTATTTACGTGGAAGTGTTATCACGCATGATATAGCGTTATTAGTGGAAATAGTAAAATAGTGTTGTCCCTGTTATTGAGGGTAAAACGTGAAAGTATATAGGGACCCAAAATCCCAAGGTTAAATAAGCTTTAAGTGTCTAATGTTATGCATACATGTCATAGACAATGGTCAATTTGTTCTTGCGCATGTCTCTCAAGCCTCAACCAAAAAGCATACAAAAAGAAACAATCTGGATTGGATTATATACAAATATTTCTACACTAGTACCAGCCGCATCTATAGATTTTATTTAAACTAAATTATGAAGGCAAAAGTTGTTAAATTAACCCAATAATTTGTAGCAAGAATCCTAGATGTTAGTAGTTAGGCCAAAGGCTTGCGGAGGAAGAGGATGAGGAAGAAGCCAATGACCTAATTTCATTTCAAAGCTGAAATATTCTGATCCCCATGCTTGGAATTTTCATGGAGTTTGGGCCTCACGGAATGTTTCGGCATGCTCATGGACTAGACATTTGAATGATTGAGGTCAAGATGCAACATTTGTGCGGCTGATGACAAATTGCATCAGTTGTTGAAACAGCAACATCTGTTTCTGTTTAGTAAATATATGGTTGTTAGGGGGTGGCATCAAGTTGTGTTGGTGATATAATTAGATCATAATACAGTCTTAATGCAATAATGAAACCATATTATGCTTTTTATATATGTATTTGTCCCCTTCAAGCCCATAATGGATTTAAAAATTCAATTTTTTTTAATCAATGAGGCATGGAGATTCGAATTTTAGACGTCTTCCAACATCGGGAAGAAGAGAAGTGCGCTGCTATACTAATAGCTAGTTGGTATGAATTTAAATTCCTAAAACGTGATTTTATAAGATAATAATGCACCTAATTATATTCCTTAGTATTTTCTGTTAACCTCCAAAGTTCTTGTTGCTGTGGCTCATTTCATTCCATTGAACAGTGCCATAATGACAATCTCGCGTAATCACTTTATTATTTGTTTATGGCTTGTCCAAACTTATAAGTTATAATTGAAGGTGAAGTTCTTCTGTTTAGAAAGATACAGAGGAACAACTTCAGACCACCCCCCGCCACAAAGAAAAAAACAGACTGGCATGAATTGTGGCCATTGGATCTGTGAAGTTAGTGAGGCCCAAATTTTGACATGGGTTAAGTAGGCCCAACATCATCTTATGTTTTTTCGTTTGTCAAAGTTCACAAGTTATATTGACAAATATGAGTATCCAACCTTGCGTGTAAATGTTCTTAACCACTTGAATTCTAAGTTTGATATTCATGCAGAGGATCTGGATTCATTAGTACTACTTATAGATTCTCAATCGTATAATAATTTATAACATTTTCCCTTTGAATTGCTTAAAATAGATATATCAATGATTCTAAATTTGAATCCCTCCTCTCAATAGTCGATAAACACACACTAAATACTGGGGATGACGAGATATTGCTTATTAGCTATAA